TAAAAAACGACGATTATCTCCGTCTCTGCATCGTTGCTCGGTAGTGCAGGACACCAACGCAGGAACATGTGTCGCTGCCCTATTCACTTGAACTTATCGCCCGGCTTATCTATTTTTTTTATTGTTTTGCTTGTGGGTCCTAACGATGCCTATGAATGCTCAGCATAAAAGGTGTGAATAGCAATGTCTGATTCTCACATGTGGGTCCTAATTTATTTTCTGGCTTCACTCAACACAGCGGAAGGCTAGGACGACCTCGGCACGACTGCTGACGTGGTCCATCGAGCTCGCCTAGAGGACACTGCTTGTCAAGGCATTTTTGAACGTCCAGCTCCCCGATGATGTGCCATGAGGCTCGTATCTTACCTTATGTCTGGAACAATGCAAACAATCCTATGTCCATCTAAGTTTGTTTCTCCCACAGAGATGGGTTTTCATTTACGTGCCTCCAGTTTACGCACCAAGCAAACTAACACAATTAAAATCAATGGCTCATAGGTCTTTCCCATAGGCTTCACCACGATCCAACGGAAGGGGTCAACGCTCCTTCCCCCGCACGCGCCATGCTGCCCATGCGTGCGATCCTAGGTTTGATCCCTACTTTCTCCATCTTGATTTCTCTAGAAAAAAACGCAAAACTTCATCCACGCCCCCACCTCGCAAAACCAAAGCAACGCCCTTTGAGAACCCATGGGGACATCAGTCCGGCGATGCCGGAGCATGCTGACTGCGAGGTGGAGCTGCACGACGAGGACGAGCTCGGTGAGGGCGGCCCGGGCATCACGCGATCGTGCACATATGCGGCGAATATGGATTCTCGGAGTGCCACGGTGCAGGGCTCTGGGTCGGCCGGGTTGGCGTGGATCGGCGACGACCTCGGGTATGGCGTGACGTGACGCCGCAGCACGGCATGGCTCCGTGCGCCATTGGTGGACTGAGCGGCGGCGGCGACTCGAAGCCTGGGGCGCGCGAGACGCTCACGCCCTAGGGTTTCTCCTCGTCTGCCGGTAGTGGGCCTTGGTGGGCCTGCAGGAGGGTGCGGCCCACGACCTAGGTGGGAGTAGAGAAGGGCGAGTGGGCTGGCTGCTGCGGGCCTTTTTGACTGGATGTAGCTAAACTGTGCGGGGTGTAGGAGCCGGCTGGGCCGCGTGGCTGGCTAGAGAGGTAGGAATGTCTTGACCTGAAGGGAGGGAAAATGAGTGGGCCGAGCCTAGGCGGTGGATGGGGGCAGGCTAGCTAGGCCCGTGGGATGAGGAGGTGCTGGCCTGGTTTGGGAATAAAGGAGACGACTAGGTGATGCTAAAAGTATAGTGCAGATTTGTATGTAACTGGAAAAGTTACTTAATGTGTCCCATAGTGTTATCAATGGATTTGGATAAGGGTTTTCAGCAGTTTTGCAAGCATGGAGAATAGTGAAAAGGAAAATAACGATGCAAGTGATAATTATGTGCATTGACGTAAATGCACTGATGATACAAATAATTATGTGCGTAGAAAAATATAGTCTTTTTGCTTTTACCGTAGTGTTAGCACAGACATACTAATATTATTACTAATCGAAGACTCCACTAGTCCTCATATTAAACCTCACGAGGCACTCTTAAAAAAATAAGATACATCACTAAAAAACTATTATCAGAGACAGGCAAAAACTACTATACTTCCTCCATCTGAAATTATAAGATGTTTTGGTATTCTAGATTCATGGCTTTTAGACATAATATCATGACCCAAAGTCAGGGCCCAGTCAGGTGGAGAAAAAAGGCCAAAACCCATACCAAATCAACTCCAAATGGCATAAAACTATGCAGGACCCACCTAAAGGACCAAAGGAAGCATCCCACTGAAGATGGGGCCATTTGGGTCTTATTGGGGCGCGACCACACCCCTGGTGTGCCCGCACCACCACCGGGGCCTCTCGGGCCCATCTTTTGCGTGTTGTCAGATGCCACCTTACCCACGTCGGTTCCCAGGGTGTTGGCCAGGTTCAGTGCACCAAGATGGCGGTTTGGAAGTCAATTTAGAGCTTTCCATGAGGGGATGAACCATTTTCCAAGGACCCCCCTCCTCTCCACCTATAAAAGGAGGCCATCCCCTCCTCATTTTAACAACACACCAAGGAGCAAGAGCACCACACTTGAGCATCATTCCAAGGGCTTAGGCCCTAGATTACTAGTAGAGTTAATTGGGAGAGATGTGAGGAAGAGTACGGGGAAGCGCCGGGCTTGTCAGTGTCTCCCCGAGCTTGTACCTCGACGAGTACTTGTACTTCAACGGGTTCTCCCGCTAAGTTAGTGTTCGTGATTCTTTCTTACTTGTTTGTGGGTTCGTCGTCTGCTCTCATATCAGATACTCTAGTAAAAGGCCCTGATAAAGACGGATAACCCTGCACGATGCTAGAGTAGTAATCAATAGCGTAGACATGATGTCTAGGCTAGAGGTTACCTTCGTTTGCCCCATAGTCCATGGTTGAGGGGTAGGCGATAGGTGGTGATAGGCCTGTCTGTCCCTCGTAATCCCCCACGTCTAGGTACGGCGTAGAGCTAGAGGGCGGTATCGCTTGGCAGACCAAGCATAAGCCGGTGCCCAAAGTAAGCAAGTAGGAGTAAAGTTTATCTGTCCTTAGACCCTAAAGCCTTAGGAATTCATCTCTATCCTTTCCAACTTTACCCTTGTGTTGTCCTTGGACGAACTAGCTAGAAGAAGTACATCCGTTCCCTGTGGAAAATAGGATACCCTGAATACTTTCGGGTGAAACCTACAACGGTAATTCCGCGCTTTTGCGGAATCTTTCTGTTTGCGTTAAGAAATACCAACAGTACGACGTAGAGCTGGAAGGCGGAGGTACTTGGCAGACTAAGTATAAGCCGGTGCTCGAAGCAAGTCGATAGTGGCAAAGCTATCTTAACTTAGGATCTCTATCCTTAGAAAACCTCGCTACCCAAGCTATCTTTCTTCTTGTTATCTTAGGTGAGCTAGTTAAGAGACTTCTACACATACATTCCTCAGGGAAATATGATACCTTGAATACTTCCGGGTGAAATGCTACAACAGTAATTCTGTGCGCTTGCGGATTATTTCTGTATGCGTTAAGAAATACCAACAGGGAACACACTCTCGCGTGTGTAGGAGTTACACCAGGATTAAGTAATCATATAAAACTTGCAAGGGACTCAACTTGACCCAACTTGCTCAATTTGATTAAGGACCAACCCTTAATTTGAGCTACTAGCTAAGTGATGACCAAATGTTAATCTCTACTCAAGCAAGTTGTAAGGTCACTGTGAGTGTTGGATCTCAAGTGACGTAGCTTGTGGATTGACTAAGGATTGTTCATGGGATAGTAAGTTTGAGTAACCAAATGTACATAGTGGTGACTTGCTTATTGCACGGATTTAGCGTGAGGGGTGATGCGGGGTAGATGAGATGTCATTACTCTATTGCCCATTCAAAAAGATATGCAACTATCTTGTTGAAGTTCAGATTAGTTTTTCGCAAGAATATTCATCACTAACTGCTTCCATAATTAATGGTGGTGAGGATGAAGCCAATACGAAAACCTTATCACTCTCCTTAATTTTCTCATCCACACTAACCAGCCACGTGACGAGCTCTTTTATTGTGTAGTTAGCTAACCACACTACCTTATCCTATGGCCATCCATGCCATAGATTTGTACCCCCTTCGAGATCCACTTTCTCGCTAGTACTGCGTGGTTGATCCCACCACGTCCTCTTTTCTTCCAACAGCTTGCAGCTTCACCTCTACAACCATTAGATTTTGCAAAATGGTCTTTGTAGCCTTACACTTCACTGCAATTGAGATTTGAGTACCTGCCATTAACGAGATGACTTCCTTCTGATCAGGATGTTTACAAAATCTCCCCACGGTTGCGCCACGCTTAAGATTTCCTATCACTTGGTATCATCCATCAATTCATATACTTTTCATTATTACTTTCCCTTTGCAAGTAACTCACATGACTCCATGCCTTAAAGTGATAAGCCACGACCTTGGAGTCTTAGTGACCTCACAGACATTAGATTCTTCTTCAAGCCCGGGATATACCAAACTCCCATCAGTGCGCAATGTGTTCCCTTCTTATATATGCATCTTCAATGTAACTGATCCCACCTCAGTAATTGCATACTCCTTGCAATCGATAAGCGAATAATTCCTTTTGCTAGGTGTACAGATCCTTCACCAAACATCTTCCTCACCGAACATTTGTGGAAACAACTTCCTGAATCTAGTATCCACTTATGAACATGTAATAAACAACTTCTTGGTTTCTTGACGATAAGTATGTCATTTTCATCCTCAGGATATGTAAAATTGATAGGAGAATGTAAATCCAAATATGGTAGAGAATTTAAAATTTTAAAAATATTTCTTTGGGCGATTCATTTTAAAGAAGCCGACTCTAAAAATACATTTTTGGTACGTAGAGGTTGGCTAAAACCCACCACCGACTCCGTAAATGCATATCCAGGGATGGTTACCTGAAACAAACTATGCCTGGAAATGCATCTCAATGGGCAATTGTATTAAGCCAACTATCCCTGAAAAACATTTGAAAAGGTTGTTGTAAGCTCGTCTCTACAAAGGCCACATATTTACAATCGATGGTGTAGTATTGCTTTCAAAAACACCCTCCCCCTTAAACCACTTTTGACCGTCTCTAGAAGTCGTTTCCACGTAGTGTACAAGGATTATTTCCATAGAAACTAATAAGCAAAAAAGTTGAGGTGGGTACAAACAGTATGATGGGAAGCAAATTGAGGAAAACATGTGCTTTATAGTATAGAAGATAGATTTATTGTTATTACATGTTTGCATTTCGCGGTTTCGCTCATAATATCTTTGGGATAATCCGTACTCTTCGGATATTGATGTTTGAAACCCCATGAAGGTTCATGCCTTAGTTTGTAGTTGTATTGCACGTAACTTATTTTGCTCACGATAACAAAGCTACTAGCTTATTGTAGATCATGTTCTTCCTACCTCTTCTTAACCTTCATCTTGAGCCCGTTCTTTATTTGTAGAATACACGACAGCTTGGGCTGGATGCTCTGCCCTTCCAACAGCTCCAAATAGAAGTTCCATATGACCGCGGCAACAATTGCCTTCATCTGCGTGATTGCTATGTCCTTGCCAAGGCACATCCTCGGCCCTGAGTTAAAAGCCATGAATTTGTGAGATGGCACATACCGCAGCTTACCGCCATCTTCAGAGAGCCACCTCTCAGGCCTGTACTCATGGCAATCCTTGCCCCACAGGGCTTCCATTCTGCCCATGGAATAGATGGAGATCAGGATGGTTTCGCCGGAGCACAACCTGTGGCCGCTTGGGACAACATCATCGGCAACCACCACCTTGCGCTCGAACGGGCCTGGTGGGTACAGCCTGAGGGACTCGAACAAGGCTGCCTGAAGGCCGGTAGACTAGGTCTTTAGTCTCCTCCGACTCAAAGAACACCATGTCGTTGCTTGCGGCAGCGGAGGCCTTGAGAGATGCGATGTGAGCCAGTTCCTCGCGGATGCCGGAGACGACGCGGGGATTCTTGGCGAGGTTGTAGAAAACCCACGGCAGTGTTGTGCCAACAGTGTCCCGGCCTGCGATCATATAGTTGATGAGTATCCTACTCAACAGGGCCTTGTCGCTGCTGTACTCCGGATCACCAGAAACAATGTCCACGGCGGCCAGCTCGTCACGATCGGAGTACCTGGCTTTCGTCTTCTCCATCATCTCCGTGATGAACCCATGCAACAGTGTGTGTGCCACGGCCAGCTTCCTCTCCGGGCCAAGGTTCAGCTTTCTCATCATCTTCCAGCAGGAGGCTGGCACAGTGTGCCGCAAAAGACCAACCTCCATGACCGTGTCCATGGCGGCCGCGACATGCATCGACGGCATGTCGGTAGAAAGGCAACCAGGATCTACTCCGAAGATCGGAGTGGCAGTGAGGTCGAATATGAGCCTCGTCATCAGGTCCTGCATGTCGAACGGGGTCCCGGTACTCTCCATGCGGGTTAAGAACGGGAGCAGACCGTTCACCACCTTGTCGCGGCAGCAACGGGACATCAGCTCAAGTACCCGTGGGTTGCTCAGGACGCTCTGGAACATCCCTCGCTGCTGGCGGCAGGCCTCGCCGTCGACGGTGAGGATGCTGCCGCTCACGATGTCGAAGATCTCGGCGATCTCCTCGCCCTTGGGGTAGTTCGCATGGTTGGAGGTGAAGATGTGCCGGACATTTGCCGGGTCAGCGGTGAGGAAGAACCGCATGCCACTTCCTAGTGGCCCTTGTGCCTTCAGGTTGCAACCAGAGGCGGCAAGGATGACTGTGAGTTCGTCGTGTAGGTTGTGGAGCCTAGAAATGAGGGCCGGGAGAACGCCAACTACCGGCCAGTCCATGGGGCGCAACGGGCCATTCCTTGATCTCCACAACCTAACATACAACGATACAAGTGTGGAGATGATGAGTAGCTGTAGCAACAATGGGAACGCCATTGTTTGTAATGGTACGACTGTCTATGCTAGCTTGTTGGGCATATAGACAGGGTAGGGTGGCTTCATTTTATAGGGAAGCTTTTCTGCACATTTCAACAGAAGTTTTTAATTTGGAAAATATAATTGAAAAGCAGGTATGGTGCTGGTGGTTCGTCACATTAAATGCACACATTAACACATTAACGACTGAAAACACACTGTTCAATCTGTCCAACCTTTAACAAGGTTACTGATGTCTTCCTCTACAGTAATTGGTTCGTATAATCCGTTTAGATAACCGTGTTTCTGACTTGAACGTTAATTTGGAAAAGTATTGGAGCCGTAAACACAATGAAAATGTTCAACCTTCAGCAATGTTTTCAATAATTCAAGTTGTTTCTACAAAATAGAACTTTAAATATTTGAAAGTTAGAAACAAAAAACTGACCCAGCCCCAATTATAAATTTATAATCAGAAGGGGAAAATTATATTTCTAATGTGGTAATTTTTGTATGCTGCAGCGAAGACTAATTAGCAGTAGTGTTTGTTTTTTCATAAATGAAGCATTATTAATTTCAAGCTCATTATGTTGAGTTGATACAAAGATCTTGAAACACTTCCATCATTTGTATAACTAGGCTACACACAGTCTTACAAAAAGACTTAAAAAAATTCAGACACGAATAACACTCAATCTATAGACACGATTGCCACTGCCATTCATTGGGTAGAAACTTGGCTACCCACGCCAATAGTTGAGATGCCACTGCAACTAAATCATATAATGTGACTTATGTAGGATGGTCTATATACAAAGCCAATGTATAACTGAGAAAATAACTTGCAAAGGTGAATAATTCTGTTTATTTTCAAAGAATCATATCAGCTTTGCATAAGCATACTGACCAACAGGCCTACCACTACGGGAAAAACGTGATTTGCCGTGTGCAAAAATCTTTGCCGAGTGCTAAATTTCGGGCACTCGGCAAAGACCTGCTTTGCCGAGCGCCGCACTCGGCAAAATATGGCACTCGGCAAAGAGGCCTTTGCCGAGTGCCAGCAAAGATCTGCACTCGGCAAAGGATGTCTTTGCCGAGTGCCTGGCAGAGTGCCTGGCACTCGGCAAAGGCAGACACTCGGCAAAGATTGGTAGGGGCCTAACGGCATCCAGTGGCGTCCTCTTTGCCGAGTGCCCCCCGTTTGACACTCGGCAAAATATTTTTTTTTTTGGTTTTTTGCCACCAATTTTTTTTTGAAGCTTTAGTACACTACCACAAACAACATGTTTAAATTTGGGACATTTTCATTGCCTTTTGACATATTTCTATAGTTTATTTTGTTTTGTTGATTTTTTCCAAAAAATGTAAGTTTGAACTGCAGGTGCATCGAATAATGGATTATATTCATTCAAAAAATGTTATCCTTGTTTCTTAGTGTAAATTTAGGCTAAATCCAGGATTTGTCTCGAAATTTCGATCAACGTGCTCACGGGGTAACGCCGCCAACTTACGTGGGAGTGGTTTTTTAATTGTATAAAATGCGAACGAATTCCGAAAATCATGAAACTAGTCGAGTTGTCGCCGTATCGTATGCGTATGCCGTGGAAAAAATTTAAAAAAGTTTTGAGCACGTTGTCACATACGATGCTCACAAACCAGGACATCTCCACATATTTTATTCGTCGTTCATTGCTTTTACACATCTACCTTGTCTTTGCATTGTTTAAACATTGCGGGTGGAATGTTGCAGGCCGACTTGCGGAGGTTGGAGGCCTAGCAGGCGGCCCAGGCGGAGGCCCATCGGTTGGAGATGGAGGCTGTACAAGCCCAGAGGGCGGCCGAGGCGCAGAGGCTGCAGGACATGTTCAGCTTCATGGCGAGCCTTCAGGCCTTGCCAGGTGTGGTCGTGCCCCAGTCGCTGCTCGCTCCAGTTGTGGCTCCTCCTCCTGTAGGGACTCCGGTGAGTATATATGGTTGTTTATTCCTTTAGCTTATGCGGCCCTCCTGTAGATACTCATGAATTCGCTTCTCCTTTGTGCAGCCACAGTCGGCGGGTTCGAACCGGACTCCTCAAGGTGGCCCTTCTCCACAGGCCGGGTGGCCAACTGGCCCTCCTCAAGGTGGCAGTTCACACTCCAGGTGGGGAGGCTGATAGTAGATACCGTTTATTTGTTTCTTTTTATGTTGCATGGACTTGTGTTAGACTTAGCTTTATGTTGGACTACTATTAGAGACATATATATATTGTATGGATGATGCGAATGTATGTGATGGATTATGGACAATGGATTTGTATGTGATGTATTATGGATGGTGGATGTGTATGTGATGGGTTATGGATGTGTATGTGATGGAATATGGATGTGTATGTGATATATCCTGTGTGTTGATATATATGTGATTTCTTTGTTTATGTTGATGGAAAGCAAAAAACCAAAAAATAGCATTTTCCCCCTCTTTGCCGAGTGCCACACTCGGCAAAGAGGGCTTTGCCACGGCACTCGGCAAAGCTGGGAAGCAGAGACCTAATTTCCTAGCTTTGCCGAGTGCCAGAGCCATGGCAGTCGGCAAAGATTTTTTTTTAAAAAAAGAAAAAATTTCTTTGCCGAGTGCAATAGTATGGCACTCGACAAAGGATTTTCAAAAAAAAAAGAAAAAATTCTTTGTCGAGTGCCGCTGAGGTGGCACTCGGCAAAGAGGCCGTCAGAGTTAACGTCGGATTTTTTTGCCGAGTGTTGACGTGACACTCGGCAAAGGCTTTACCGAGTGCCCGATATGTGGCACTCCGCAAAGAAACATTTGCCGACGGGTTCTTTGTCGACTGCTCTTTGCCGAGTGCGGCACTCGGCAAATCCTTTACCGAATGCAATAGGGGCTTTGCCGAGTGCCCTAAGCACTCAGCAAAGAGCCCGTCTGCAGTAGTGTGCATAACCAAAGCGTTAGCTTACTAGTAGCAGTAGCAACACATTATACGAATTTAACATTTTTAGTTCTTTACTAAGATCTCATAGCCAAGTTTCAAACTATATAGTTGACACATTATGACGTTGCGATAAGCCCAAAGCGGCAAAGCCTCCTGAATAACCGACCAAGTCCCAAACATATTTGACACATTATGTCATTGTGTAAGCCTGAAGCCTCCTGAATAACAGACCAGACAACACGAGAAAAAACGTTGACATGCATGGTAGGATCGGCCTAATTCATGAGAAAAAACGTTGATATATATTTGCAAACCCCCCGCATGTTCAATTGACCCGCCGATTCTGAATAGAAAAATGATCTGCCGACATGCATGGTAGGATGGCCTAATTCACATAGAAGACGACCATTCTTGGCTACATATTAAAAAACTATAAATCTGTACGCTAGCCCATGCAAGCATCCATCCTAGCTATTAATTCTTTCATGGGCTAGATCGTGATATATATGCACTTATTTATGGCATCTATATTTTCATATATTTTGTTTACAAAAATAAATAAATGTGTAAGGTTTGGCGCTAGTGGTTGGCTGGCCAACCACATATCAATAGCAATGCATCGTCAACTCCATTATCTCCGTATGACCATATGCATGTCGACAATCTATATACAGTAGGGCAAATAGAACGGCTAATCCACTGTCGGCTCAAAAGGCAAATTACTCACTTTCTGGAAAATAGGAAGAGTATAGACGACACTACCGGAAATAGTATAATTGCCGAGTGCCTGAGAGTTTGCCGAGTGCATTCCATCAGGCACTCGGCAAACATCCAAGTTACCGAGTGTATTTAATGAAACACTCGTCCAACATATAGCACTCGGCAAAAGCAAACTTTGCCAAGTGCCTAATATAAAACACTTGGCAAAATACAAAAAAGACTCTCGGCAAACACGGACACTCGGCAAAATGGAGTCACGTGCGCTGGGCGTCTGACAGCCGTTGGGTGCACCGCCCTGCCGTTAGAACTTTACCGAGTGTCCGTTAGAGACACTCGGCAAAGACAAGGTATGCCGTGTGTTTTTGCTTGACACTCGGCAAACTAATATATTTGCCGAGTGTTTTTAATGGCACTCAGCAAAATAATTATTATTTTTTCTCTCCTGCCCTCCAAACTTTTTCTACTCTTCACATACAACATGTGGTACTACATATTAAAATTTGGTATATTTCTCCATCTGTTTGCTATATTTAAGTAATTTATTGCATTTAGAGGAATTTTTTAGTTTAAGTCAAATTTAAACTGCAAGTGATACAAATAATGGAATAAATTGAGTGGAGAAATCATATTCATATTATTGAGTCCATTTTGGGGCCTTACCGGGGAAATGAAAAGAATTTTTGAACATTTTATTCAGGAAACACGACCACGAATGTGTGGCCGCATGATTTTTTAATTCTAAAAAAGCAAACGAAGTATGAAAATGATGAGATTTGTCAAGATCTCCTGATATCATACGTGGAGACTGTGAAAAAAAATGAGAAGGTTTCGCACAATTTGTCACGTACGACCTTTACAAACTGAAACATCTCCGAAGAAGAATCGTAGCGTTGAGAAGGATCTGATAAGATTTGGAGTCAAAGTGATGGTCGAATTAGGGTTTGACTTTAAAATTTTTTGTATAGGCAATAGACAACATAGATTGGTTCATGTTAAATTTTGGTAATTTTTCAGATCCGTTTGATAATTTTAATTTATTAACTGCAATTATAGAATTTTAATTGATATATATTGAATTTGAGCTATAACTGCATTAAATAATGGATTAATATTCGTAGAAAAATCAAATATGCATTGTTGAGTGTATTTGACAAGGTATTTTTAAATTACACTGTAACAAATTTAGTAGAACACGCTATGAAGAAGGAGGACGGTGGAGCATGAAATATCGATTTTTTTTGCCGAGTGTTTTGTACCTGACACTCGGCGAAAAGAATAGTTGCCGAGTGTCATATAGGGGACACTCGGCAACTTCGTCGACCGGCCCCACTGCACAGTATCAGGCCGTAATGAAAATTAAAAAAAATAATGCCGAGTG